TTGGCAAAAATATTGTACACAAAGGGCAGACTTTTTTTTAAGTCAGGGTCTCACTCTATCACCCAGGCTGGAATGTAGTGGCATGATCATGGTTCACCATAGCCTCAACCTCCCGGGCTCAGGCTATCTTTCTGCCTCAGTCTCCTGAGTTTAGTTGGGATTACAGGTTTATGCCACTATGTCTGGCTAATTTTTTAATTTTTTTGTAGAAACAAGGTTTTGCTATGTTGCCCAGGCTGGTCTCAAACTTCTGGGCTCAAGTAATCCTCCTGCCTCAACCTCCCAGGGTTCTGGGATCACAGGCGTGAGCTGCTGTGCCTACCCTTGACTTTTTTTTTTATTAAGACATTTATTGATTGTTCAAATTAAAAACTATGAGATATTATATTTAAAATATTTGACTTCTGATTTCTCTTGAAAAATCAGAAGTTCTGGCCACAATGGCCTGCATTCTCCAGTGGTGGCCTTCAGGCTGTCTCCTTCATATGGGTCCTGCCTCCTTCCTCTTGGCAGATGTATCACTGTCTCCTGACAATAAAGGTTGTTACCCGTGTGTGTGTGTGTGTGTGTGTGTGTGTGTGTGTGTGTATGCGCGCGCGCGCGCCGTCTGTAGTAAGATATACATAACAAAATTTGCTATTTTAGCATTTTTAAGTGTACAATTCAGTGACTTTAAGTACATTTAAAATATTGTGCAACCATCTCCACTATTTCCAAATCTTTTTTTTTTTTTGTCACTCCAGCCAGGCGGAGTGCAGTGGCAAGCTCATGGCCACCCCAGCGATGACCCGTTGGGCTTAGACGATCCTTCAGCCTCTGTCTTCCAAGTAGCCAGAACTACAGGCTCGTGCTACCATGCCCGGCTATTTTTTTTTTTTTTTATTGTAGAGATGGGGTCTCGCCAAGTTGCCCGGGCTGTTCTTGAACCCGTGGGCTCAGGCAATCCCCTCACCTCGTCCAAACCTTTTCATTATTGCAAACAGAAATCGCACCCATTAAATGCTAACTTCCCTCTCCTCCCAGTCCCTGATCACTACTACTCTATTTTCTGTTTCTATTATTTACTTATCCTAGGACCCTCATATAAGTGGAATCATACAATATTTGTTCATTTGTGTCTGGCTTATTTAATTTTGCATAATGTTTTTAAGGCAAAATTTTGTTTAGAAATTGACTGCTTTTCAGAGCACAGATATTAATTTTCATTGCGTGTTAAAGGAGTTGCATTTTATGGGAAAAAAAGAAAAGGTCAAACAGGACAGGTAGCTTGGGATGCAGAACTTTGAGTTCTGAGCTTAAAATGATCCTCTTTTTTTCCCTATCACTATATGGAGGTTTTTAATGTGCAGTACTTAGGCAAGTCAGTATTTTTACACAGGTGTTTTACAGCCAGTGGTTAATTCTCCTGGTATCCCCCAGAGGGCTTTCTATATTTTATAGTCAGGATATGAAGACACAGTGATGCTGGGGGGATTAGTTAAATGTGTGTGGCATAGTTTGCTGTATAAACTCACTCTCTGGAACTAGTTTTCGCTCTCTGCTCTTCACTTCAACAGCTTTTACTGTCAATACCATTCATTTGGCACTTAGCATATGCTTGTTACTTGTCTTTTTATGTGTATATCCTGGAAGACAGGAGTCAAGTCTCATACCTCTTTGTTTTTTCAGTCTTGTCTATAATAGCAGTTCAGTATTTGTTGATGTTGGCCTCCCCCCACCCCCTCCCTTTTAAGTAGAGCAGGCAATGCATAGCTTTAAATTTAAATTGAATTTAAACAAACTGAAAGGTTTTCAGGATAAAAACAAAGAGAAAATCTTGCATGGCAGGACAGAAGGTTCGGAAGACCTGGTTGTTAAGCAGAGGTACCAAAAACTCTGATGTTTGTCATAGGTTAAGAAGTGACTCACATATGGTTTGATTCACCATTAAGTTTAGGGCTCTGCTAACTCAACTCCATCAAAATTTGGAGTAGAATAATGTCCAAGTAGGGGTTGAGGAGGGGGTGTTAAAAGAATTAGTATTTTAAAGGTTTCCATTGCTCCACTTTCATTGATCCACAGCTCCAGTAGCTGTGGGGAAAGATGTTAGAAAAGTACTTTTGAGAACTTCAAGGCTGGTAGCAGGCATAATACAAATATAGCCACCAACTTGTTACCAGGACTTTGTTTTCTAGCATCTTCTGTAAAGGCAAAATAGTTCAACCCTCACTCCCTGTTTTTTAGAGTGGAGTCCTTGCTATGTTGTCTTAGCTATTCTTGAACTCCTGGGCTCAAAGGATCCTTCTGCCTCAGCCTCCTGAGTAGCTGGGACTATAGGTGTGTGCTGCTGCACCCAGCTCCCATGTCCCCTTTTGGTAAGGGAATAAGTAAAATAATTTTGGTACATCTATGCAATGGAACAGTGAGTTACAATAAAAAAGAATGAGGTAAACTTAACTATCCTGAGTTGGAAGGATATTTCAGATACATTGTTGAGTACAGAAATACGAAGTGTGCTGTGATTGATGATCCTACTTGTAAGAGACAAAAAGAATACACACACACACAGAGACACAAGTGCATACATTCATGCTTGAATATGCACATGATTTATTTGGAAGATGACATACTGTCAAAAAGAGAAGGGGCCAATGGGAGCAGAGTGGTGGAAAAGAACTTTTCACCATAGTCTTCCAGTATTGTTTTATGTTTTATTTTAATTTCACCATGTGCATATTTGACTTTTTCCATTTTGAGATCATTGTTGATCTTAACAAGTATCCCATTGCCACTGTGATCACTAGCACATACCCATTCTATCTAGCTTTCCTGTCCACTCCTCCAAGTAACAAGGCTGGAATAATCTTCCCTTGCCTCACAAACCAGGTGTCTCCATGTCTTTAACAATTAAAAACTCAACTTCCCCATGAAAAATTACCCAAATAACACCACATACATAAACTGATTCATACCGAGAATCCACTTTGCCCATATTCCTGCTTCTGAACCTTTCCGCAGCTCCTAGCAGAGCACACTGCACACTCCATGACATGCCACATTCCCACTTCTTTTCCCGCATCCAGAGCTAGATTCCAAGGCCCTGTTTACCATGAGATAGTTTTTCCTTTGAGCACACTTCCTCTTGCATGCCTTGATCCATGGCCCCTCAAGAGGTTCCCATCAGGCAGTCTTAAATTGGATGTCACTCATTGGCATGAGTTCATTATAATAGCTCTGCATTGTCAAGGTCTTTACATTTAGCCTTGCTTCCCACTTTAAATGTTTTCTAGAAAATATGGATCTACAAAGAATGGTGGTTTCTATGGTAAATTTTCCCTCATATTTATTTTCTCAAGTTCACTTCGGAGATACACAGCATGATTTCCTCTTTCAGTACCAGCACCACAATAGATTTAGATCGTGGTACAACTGGCGAACTGTTTAAAAAAGAAATCTCACCCACACCAGTTAGAAAAGGGATAATTTATTATTTTAACTGCGGGGAGCCAACTTCATATCCACCCCCAAAACTGTAGGAAATGAGTTGACTTTTAAAAATAAAGCCACAAAACCTACACAACCTTGGATGTAAATCTTAAAACAGATGAGCAGAATATTTAATTATCTGACACATGTGAGAGTTTCTATCATGTGTCATACACAAGTAGGAACACATACACATGTGGAGTGCTTTGTGGTTTATAGTTTTCACACAAATGTCATTTTATTTTCACACCAGTGCCATTAAGCTAATAGGGCATGTCTTATAGCCTTTATTTACAGAGAGGAAAATTAAGTCTGAGAAGTTAAGCCACATACCAGAAGTTGTACAACTAGCTAATAAGTGCCAGGGTCCCGAATGAATTCTTCCTTTGGTTCCAAATTCCAAGTTATGTTGCTACTCCTACACCGTTTCTCTGTACTTTCGTTTTCCTAGATGTAGAATGGTAGATTTTCCGTGTCCCACTGTTTTCAACCCTCCCTGTTCTTAAGCAATATCTTTTTTTTTTTTTTCACGGTAAGGAAATGTGAACCATTGACACTTCATGTACTTTTTCCCCCTCCTGATTTAATGAATCAAGAGGGAAGAAAGTTACCTACTTCCAGAGGGCTGGACAGTGCCATAACTATAAAGGTGTACGAGTCCGCGACATACTGCCGCACTCTTTTACGAGACTGAGAAATAAAGCGTCTCATCTTTCTCTTCCCAGCAATAGCTGGAAGAGAGCAGAGAGTAGACAATAGCCTCTTGTTTAGTTTTATTAATTTTGAGGACGGGTGGGACAAAAGGATCGGATGGGCGACTCAAAAGACCAATCGCAAGCGAGTCCTGGCTAGGACTGGCCAACGGGTAGCTGCAAAAGAATGGTGGGTGGGCCCTAAACTTCAGGGGCCGTTCCGCCCAGGCCGGCACTCCCAGCCCGCCCAAGAGGCGGAGCCTCCACAGAGCTCCGCCCACGACCGCCCCTTCGGCCCGCCGCCGCTAGGAACCAGGGCCCGAGGCGGGGGTAGAAGAAGGGGGAGACTGGGGGAACAGAGGAAGAAAGGAGAGTGTCTCGCGAGCTGTGACCTGGGTGGGGGCCTGCTGGTAGTAGGAAGCAAGAGGGGAAGGGAAACGAAGGAGTGCTGCTCCTTCCTGCATTATTTTAAGCAGGCCTGGGTAGAAGCTGCTTTTCAGCATTTCAATTATTTGTTTTTCTTCCTCCCGCTGTGGGGCGGCGAGCCGCACAGGCTCTCCCACGCGACTCCGCTGCGCCATCGCCGTAGATTATTATTGTAGTCTTTGCAAACCTTTTTCCTTCTTCCCAGCCAGTACCTGCGCTGACTCTTGGGGCTACCGTAACCTAGTCGTGCCCTGCAGGTGGAAGGGCGACAGCGAGGGTCCCCAGTTTTCGCCGGAGCTCCCAGACCCCGCCGTTCAATTGTTTCAAACTTCCCCGCCCCCCGACCCCGCCTCTCTTCCGCGCCCCTCCCCCAACCCCCGCCACTTCCAGGGTCCAGGCTGGCTCCCGCCCTTCTTTCCCCGCCCTCTACTCCACCTCCCTCCCTAGTCCACCCCCCGCTCCGGGGCGGTCCTAGCTGCTCACCGCAAGAAGAAAAGCCACCCATTCGTCTCCCTCCCCTACCTCCCATCCTCTGCCCAAGAGCTGCCTTCATTGCAGTCACGCCCCTTCCTTCCGAGGAGCTTTCTGGCTGCCTAAACTGGTAGACCCCCTGAATTACTCCTCCATCTCTGCTCTCTTTCGCCGCCTCTTCTTTTAGTTCCCCCCCCCACCAACTACCACCACCTCCAGTCTGTCTCGCCTCCGACCATCCGCTGCTCCACCCTCCGGCCCGGTATCCTGCCTGTCCACTGCCACCAAGGAGAACCCAGACGGAGCTGCAAGGAGGGGAGCAGCCGGCAGTTGGGGCTTCCCCCCTGCCCATCCCTGGCCGTCGGCCCGGGACCGAAGCCACTTGAACGAGCAGAGAGTCGTCACCTTGTCTTCGTTGCCTTCAGGGGTAGGAGACGCGTGGTTACTTTTCGCGGGGAACTGGGGCAGGAATCCATGGTGGCATGAACTTGATCGTGCCCTCAGCGTGAGTGAGTTCATCTAGATGCGTGTGGGAATGTCCGTGTGTTCTACTTTCTTTGCAGCTGGCCATGAGTTTTCTGGGATGTGCAGCAAGTTAAATCGGTTAAAGAGTGTGCGCTCTTCTCCCGTCCTGTTTCAACAAGATGCTAGTGGGTACCACTACTTGATGGTACTTTTACTTAATTGCCTTCTAGGGTCTTTGTAGGTCTCTAGGTAATTCATCACATTAAGGTGCTAAAGACCCTAGGGAAGTTGAGATCTACATTTAGTCCAGCATGAATGCCTTTGGTTATCTTAGATAACTAGATGGTTTTTTTTTCCCCCTAAGTACTTAGGCTTGGGGCGGGGTCTCATACTCCCTGAGGCGGAGGGAGGGAGGAGGACCTTGAATTCTTGAAGTTTTAAAGTCTGGGAGTAATTTACAACACAAGTACTCTTAGGGATGTATGGCGGTGAGGAGAAAGGAGTTGCCCTTATTTGCTTTATACAATCCAAAGTTGTTAGTAAATAGTTGTGGGGTATCAGGCAGGTGTCTTGAGTGTACAAGTCACTGTATGTTGGTGCCTCAGCAGTAAGATGGACTTCATGGTAATATGAAAATGACCCTCCCTGGTAAATTGCCACCAATAATAATATAATAATTTGCAGCAAGGGACTAAATACAATTAAATGAGTGAGGAAAGGGAAAGTTTGTGAGAAACATCATCTTCATTCTCTACTATGTTTTAGACAGAATTTTCTGACAACTTGGGATGTTTAGTTTAGTTCTCCTCCTTTCCACAATGAAGAATGGAAGTTGGGAGGTAGTTAAAAACTTTAATGAATATAACCCTCTTCTCCTATTCAGAGGGAAAGATAATTAGTCACCATAATCTTCAATGATGAAGGGCTAAGGTTATTTAAGTCTCCTTGAGCTAGGCTTTGTGAAAAGTTCTTTCTCCGGCTAGCCTTTGTGAAACCTTCTCAGTTAGACCTTTCAGCACCCTCGTTTAATAGCTAAGAATAGTTTGAAATGCCATTTTGGACGTGGGACAAATTTTCACCCATCTTGCACCTATCTTCAATTGGACAAGTGCGACAAGCTTATAAGGATGGTGTTGTTCAAAGACCTATTACTGAGCTGTCCCTAACCCATTGCTTATTTGGGAGCAAGTCGTTTACTTATATTTTAAAATAATGTCTTTGGTTGATTTTCATGGGGAAAAGGAAAGCAGGATGGTAGAGAAGGAACGTTACAGGGTGACAATTTTAAAGGCTATCATATTGCAGATCAGCTGGGAGGGAAAAGCTGGCCTGACCAAACTACATTTTATAACTGGCCTGGGACATTTTAGCAGCCAGGTGGTTGTAGAGTAGTTGCATCTATTTACAGATGATAACTCAGGTTCCAACTATTCTGTATGGGTTTATCCGGTGTCATTTACAGACACTTTCTGGCACTTCCTCATACTTCATTTTAAGTTACTTCTTTCTTTGGAAAAGTTTGTGGCTTTGTAAAATTGAAAGTCTTTTTTTCTAACCTCATGGTCTACATGTGAAGTAAACCTCATCACAATTGTATGTAGAGTCACTTTTACAGGAAAGTTGTGGATCTGTTAACCTGCTTAAAAGATTTTAGAATGGGAATTTTAAAAATTCATAGTCAATCCTGTTTTGGATTTGGAAATTAAAACCTCATTTCTGGTTTGTGAAGTAGGATTTATTAGGCTAATGCTTAACTGAGGTCTTCTGTAGAGTTGCGTTTTCTAAAGTTTTATAAAGAACTCATCAGTCTCTAGAATGCTTTAAAAGCACTCTAATCAGAAGGCAGAGGGATGGATGCTATGACCTTGAGGTCCCATTGAGTGCCAGAATTCTAAGTGGGTACATCTGCTTCTGTGCCCCTGCTAAGAGCCCTCTCCCAGGGCCTGCGTCTTCTCTAAAAGGGTGTCTTTGTAATTAACCAGCCCTTCTCTCCCATCCCCCTTTCTTCCTTTGATTCAGCTTTTTAAGGCCTTCTTGTCCAATTGGAGACAAGAGGAGTTTCTCACACTCTCCTGTTCCCCTCTTAACGTTTCTTTTCCTTTACCCAGAAAAGTACCCTGAAGTTCTCAGGATGGCTAGAAGTTTTGTTTTGTTTGGGGCACATTGGGATGGAGTGCCAGGGGGTTGTTACCAATAAGGAATAGAGGATATATTCCCTTTTGGGAAATGCTTGTGGCCAGGTAGCCTCCTCCATGGAGACTTTGCATTTGGAATGCATGAGAACAGCCTTTCTTGGGGACTGTCTGGTAGAAATTGTCCTTTACACCCATTAAACCCAGCTTAAACCCACTGAAAGGGGTGGAGAGAGATATGTGTGATCGTGGCTGAGCCTTTTAGGATGGTAAATGGGTAAATGTTTCCAAATCTCCTATTACATCACCTCTTTCTCCCGTGGATTCAGTGGGTTTAGTGATCTGCTTGACAAGTTAATTAGCTGGGGACTAAACCAATTTGTTTAGAATTGTGATCCATTGATTTCCTGTCCCCAGGAATTTTTGTTGGTGTTTTACTATGATATGTTGTCTTTAGCCTTACTTACTTTTAGTTCCTTACTGCCTTTTGTGGACTTTGGTCCAAAATTTAGGGTCCCACCCCCAAGTCAAAGGTTAGAATTTGGTCCCAGGAACTAAGGGGGCATTAAACAGACTGACCATACTGCATTACTCTCCTCCATGGTGGGCTTCTGCCCTTTTTTAACCCAGAGAAAGGAGGGAAGTCTCCCCTTCCACACACAACACACACAATCTGAACAAAAAAAAAAAAAAGGAAAAAAGAAAATAGGAGGTCATTTGGTTTATAAAAGAACCCACAACAGATTTCTTTGAAAGAACTAGCTTTTCTAGTTAGTGCCTTTAAACTATGACTTGATATATAAAAATTCACTATAACTAGGCTTTCTCAGAAACATACTTATTACATAAAGGAATACATTCGAAGTTGTAATAATTAGTGCTTAAATCAAGTGATGCTATTATTTGGCCTTTGAAATCTTTGTGTTATATGGAATGGAGTTAGTTAATTGTTGAAATCATTCTGGCTTGTAATAATGCTGGCCACGTTGGCCCTGGCCTACAACTGTTTGTAGAGGGGAGCTAGTATTACTTTCTGGAAATGAATCAGACTTTATAGATGTTGAACAGGCCTAAGAATGGGACTATGCATCCCATAAAGGTAAAATATTTTATTTCCAGATACTGTATTTGAGTAACCCAAGGATCCAGATAATTGTCTCTAGTAAATAATAGCAACTAATGCCATTTTTAATCTAAGACTCTACAATAAGCTTTCCTAGTGAGCCTATTGGTGAGAGGGACCTGGGCTCTAGGCCCAACTCTAACCCTTGGCAAGTTTTCTCCACTATAAATTGTGGGTGTCAGACCCAGTGGTTTTGAGAGCCAGTTCTCAGAATTTTATGTTCTCTTTCTAGGCCTAGATGTCTGGTGTGAATATGAATAACTGCTACTAGTATGAAGTGCAGCAGTTGTTAGAAATACAGTCATGTAGCCATCATCTTTTCTTTTTAAAAAAAGAGCCTATAAGCCTGTATCAACATAAATGCATTGTGTTTTTTAACAAAATCAAATTAAGAAGGTTAAAATCTTCACCAAGAATCTCATCATCCTAATAGATCACTTTCTTTCATTTTTTCTAGTTCTTTTCAAATTCTTATTCCTGCATTAACATGAATTTTTACGTAATTAGGGTCAAAGAAATATACAGTATTGCTATTAAATAAGAGGCAGTCTAAGACTTAGCATTGTAAATGTGTGTGGAGAAATGAAGTCAGAACCTGACTGAGTATGCATTTTGTTTCTTGAAAGCCAGGAGAGACTAACAGAGTTGATAAATAATCCCTAAACACTTTTCTGTGATTCAGGAGATGTTCATGTAGCTGGGAAGGCTGTTAATTCAATTTCTTTGACCTTCTGTTATCCCTTTCCCATTTTTTAAAAACAAAATAAACCTGGAGTCTACTGTTTACTTTGTCTAAATCATTGGCAATGGTTCTTATATCGCTGTATCATGATATCCTATCAAGAGAATACAAATGTGGGTAGACTATGAAATCTCCAGAATGAGAAAGGAGAAGCAGGAAGGCACAGGTATGTTTGCTTTGTAGCATTGAAAATAATATGGTTAAATTAGACTAAAAGGTAGCAAGGAAATAAGGATTTGAGACAATTAAATTAACAAAGATGTAGATACAGCAGAATGGCCCACAAGTAATGGGTTCTTCATCTGATGACTTCACTGTGTAGTGAAAGTTCAATTCCACAATCCTTCAATTTTTCCTTTGATAACAAAGGTGTGATATACATGTGACCGCCAATTTTTGATGGATTAATTCCTGGAAACCAGTGGCTCATCATAAATCAGATTAAATTTCTCTAACTGGAATAGAAAGTGAGGTATGAATTTTTAGTATTTAGAAAGTGTCAAGTGAAGTACAGGAAAGTTTTTTTTTTTGTAGTGTGAGATCATGGGGAAACTTCAAATGGATATATTGGTCAATACTTTCTAAGGTAATTCTTGAAAATGTACACTTTTAAGTCTGTAGGCTTGCCTTGACATTTGTAAAGTCGCTTTCACTCTTGTCCCAACTCCATGAAATATCATTAGCCTGTATGACTTGGGTTTTCTCTGCCCAACCCCTCTCTGAATTGCCATGTGACCAAGGATAAATGAATTAGCTGCTCTAAGCTTCAGTTACCCTTCTGGGAAGCAGGGATATTAATACTTCACAGAGGTGTTTAGGCATGCTTCATATTGGGCACATGCTTTGAGGTCATTGGATGAAAGGTGTTTGCATGATGGCAAAGCAGGCTTATTATAGGGTCCTGAGCAGGTGTTCCTTTTTAATGAGCTTTGCTCCCTTATAACATACAGTGCTCTTTGGTGTCCCATTGCCTTACTGACTGTAATTACGATTGACCCAACATTTGGATTATTGACCCTCTCAGTTTTTTGAAAAAACAAAACAAAACAAAAAACGTTTTCGTACCATGTGGTAAGTTGAGGTGCAAATAAGAGGACTCCAGCATCTGCCAGGGTGATGAAAAATTTCTTCAAAAAGAGAGGTTAGTTGAAATATGCCACCGAGATCCGTGAGTTCTTCAAATCTCCTTCAAAAGATTAAAAAGAGTAAAGCAAATTTCTGTGTGTGTGTGCACGCGTGCGTGTTTTAAGGGAGAAAGTTTTGAGTAATATTTGCTTGTGACACATACTGATGATAGCCAGTAACTGAAACCCAGCCATTATAGTGTTTTATACACAGCTGGTTTTTATTAATGATGGAATATTTATACTTGCTGTACAATTCGTGGCTCATTTCCATGTGTATGTCAGAACTTAAATACCCCCCAAAGCAACATTAAGCTAATATTAAATATAAATGTGGCCAAGCTAGAAAGGGTGATTATGGTGGGAAGTCTCCCTTATTCTTATCGGTGGTGCTTCAGATCACAATAAGTGTCTCCTCTACCCCCCACCACCAACTTTAGGCATTGATGCTGATCTTTTTACTCTTTATATCTTATAGCAAACTTCACATTTTTATCCTTTTGATATGAACAAATGATCTGTTCCCCCTTTTATAATGCAGATAAAACTGATGTATGTGTTTTTTAAGAGCATATTTTCCCTGCACATGCTTCTCATTATCCGAGAGGCCTGGACTCAATCAGTAAAGGAGCAGAGAAACCACATAATTGAAAGGAGAATGACGGTGGTGCATACTTGGAATATTTGTGGGAAGGGGATTGCTGACATCAGAAAATGTAGTGGCCTGAGTGTTAACAGCATTGAAGAGAAATCAGCTTTCTGTGTTTCTGTATATTGAAAATTATTTTTAAGGGAATCAAAATATGGGCCAGGTTTGACATCCTTTTATGAAGTTGCACTAGAAACTTTGATGAAGGTTGTTAAAGAATAGTTCAATTAAAACCTTCCCTATTAGGAAGCTAATTAGTGCATCCTTTACTCATTTTGATTGTTTTCAAGGGGCATGGATTTGCATTGAATTAGTGACTTTTGTTTCATGTGATAGCAAACTAAAATTAAAAAATCACAGATGGAGAAAATTATTTAGATTGCCAATTTTGAAGAATCTAATTTCCTCCTTATTACATTTAGGTTTTCAGTTCAGATTTCTGTTTCACTCTGTTTATATACAGTGATCACATTTTAGTGTGGTAGTCAGTTTTACTTTCTGGATCATGGGCTGTAAAAACCAAAGCTTATTTGAGTTTCCCTATGAATTAGAGAAATATAACAAATCACAATAAACCGTTGTATTAAGGTAACATTTTATTTTTTCTTCTACAATTAGTTTCTTTTTGCTGTGTGTGTGTGGGGGGGGGGGAGAGAGAGAGAGATTGGGGGAGGCAGATTGTTTTTGTTTTTTTTTTTTTAAAAGCAAACAGTTTTTGGAACTAAGGAAATTTTTGATGACCCCCTTTACCCCCAAGCACATTCTGTCTGCCTCAGGCTGCCAGTTAGGTTTCCATTAGGGGAATGTGATGAATTTTCTGACCTGGTGCTTTTTGTGACCAGGCTAAGCAGTTCTTCCTCAGCAGCCTGAAGGAGAAGAGGTTATGGTGGGAATAGGAGTGCAGGATTTCTAGCAGGTTCCTTCTATTGTACTCTATATTTTTTATAGGAATGAGTACTTGCTCCTGGGGTTTTAGGACCATTTGCAATAGAGTAAATGCTTTGTAGCTAAGTATATATATATTGATTTTAATTTTTAATATTTTTTAAAATAGAGGTGAGGTCTCACTATGTTGCCCAGCCTGGGCTTGAACTCCTGGGTGCAAGTGATTCTCCTGCCTCGGGCTCTCAAAGTGCTGGGATTACAGACATGAGCCACTGCACTTGGCCTTGTAGCTAAATATAAAATATGGGCTTGCATGGCCCTCCTTTTACCCATAACATTAGACAATAGTCATTCTGTACCTATGTTCCCTGTTGCTGTGCCCGTGGCATATGTCTGTACTAGTTTCTGCGAGTGGGAAAATTGGCTGGGTAATATGATTTTTGGTTTAACTGATCTCACCCTAGTCCTTCTTGGGAAGGTAGGGTCTAGATTTAGTTTTGCAATGGCACCTCAGTCAAGACAGGTTCCCTGTGCTTGCAAGGCAGCAAGAGGAGGAGGGGCTGCCTTCAGCCTTTGGAGAGTGACTCAGGCCCTTCGGTATGAAGATATGAAATGCTGGCTCCTGTCCATGCACCTGCTGGATGCCACACCTGCAGTCAGCACCTGAGCGCCACTCAGACACAAAAACCAGACTGAAGGCAGATGGGGCTCCCTTTGAAAGGGGTACAGAGAAACAGGGAGCTCCCAATTGTGCTAGCAGAGCCCCACTGGGAATTTCATTTAGCCATTCCAGCTCTGGCCTTGGGAAACTTCTTAGATATTTTCTTCCAGGTGCAGCTCACTCACTTGTTCAAGATACTTTTGGAGTGTCGAGGGAATCTGCTTTCCTAATAAATTTATCTTATGAACTGTCCTCTTAAAAACTAGAGAGGCAGTTCTGTGGAGGGTTGTGTCTTGGAACTGAGCACAGGGCAGGAAGTCACAAGACCTGGATTCTGATCCCGGCTCTACCGGTGAGCAACAGTGAAATCCTCGTCCAATTATTATCATTAGCTATCTGTTCTGGACTTGAGCTTTTCTCTCCAGTTGTAAAATAGAATTAATCACATCTGCTTTTATTTCTGCACAGAGCTGCTGAGAAGGAAGGACAAATAAGATAACAAGTGAAAGAGCTTTTGTCTCCTTAGAAGGAAGACTGAGAAACTAAAGGTAATAGTATTATTATTTTTGTTATTTTTTAGCCTTCATTCTTTTTCTTTTCGTGCTGTGGTCTCTAACAAAGTCTTTGGGAAGTTGTCATTTACTCAGTATGCAATTATTAAGCACATTTTATACTCTAATTAATGTTTAGGTGGTTGGGATGGATGCAAAGAAAAATCATGCACTCAGCCCATGCCTTCTAAGATCTTATAGTCTAGCAACTTCCGTTTCCATTTTGGGCTCAATCTATTACAGTGATTTCTGCCTGGGCACTTAGCTTAAAAGATGAGAATTAACTTTGCTTTTTTTCCTCTCCATTTTGCAACTGGGGACTTCTGTCCCTGGAGCAGTGTATTCCAAGACCTAAATAGAAGATGTATGGAGGAAAAGCCATGGGGATAAATACATGAATTATTCCCACTCCCACATTTGCAAAGTGCCTGACCCTTGAAGGATTACTTTTTCAGGGGTCTATCTTTAGTTTAATCTTGAGTTCTGTTCTGTTCCTACTCAATATGGTTCAGCCGATTCTTTTTTTCTTTTTCTTTTTTTATCGGGCAGACTCCTGAACCAGAATAGATTCAGAGTCTTTCTGGCCCACTTTTATGACCTTAGCTGTCACTAAGGTCTAATGCTAATGAAGCCCAAAGATATTTCTCAACCGATCTTTGACATCAAATTGATCACCAAAATCCATGTTCTATTCAGCTTGTAGGTTTTTTTTTTTTTTTTACCCCCACCGGGAAGCTTTTTCAGGTAACCCAGAGATTTTTGCAGAATCCTCTGTGTTGTCAGAGATACCTGTTCATACCTTTCTTCTCCCATTGTATTATGCCTCATTTGCTTGACTGGGAGTCCTTGAGGACTGAGTTCTGTTTTCTTTTTTTTCCCACCCTAAGGCCTACCTAACACAATGTTTGGCTACAGTAAGTGCTCAATAAATGTTTGTGGAAAATATCCTGTAATGACTATTGTAATAGAGAGATAATTAATTTTCTATATTGAGCAGAGTTGGAACTGGGGGGAGATGGAGAGGGATTAAGGAAAAACGTTCAAAGAGAAGGTAGAAAGCCAAACTGCCCTTTCTGAGAGTTCTGGCTAAGAAGCCAAGGAAAGAAACACCTGTTGTGTCTGCTTTTGCTAAGATGGGACATCCCTGACTTACTGCCTCCGTTGTCTTAGGACTGGATGACTTTTATGGTCAGGTCTGTAAATAAACCTCTGTCTATAACACATTGACCATTTAAGAAATGTGCCACCTAGTCATATATTAAGCAGGCTGACTGTAAATGTACCACCTTAACTGAGGCTGAAAATAGAGGTACACACACAGGCTCATTGATTGTGTATTCTTAGTTCTATACAGAAACATGCCCTTTAAGATATATTGAAGTTGAGAATCGAAAACTAAATTCAATTCTCAGAATGTTGCAGGTTGGGTCACTAGAACTGAATGTCTTCGAGCTGACTGTCAGATCTTTCCAAGGGCAAAAAACGAAAGATGATATAAGCCATTACAGGCCATGAACCTGTTCTCACCCACCTGATGCTTTTACTAATTAGCTTCTTGGCCAAGTGGCAATTTGGGGCAAGTGCATGCAAGCTGGATTCACAGGGGAGCCGGCATTCCACTCTGCCATTTCACAAACCACTGGGATACTACCCTGCTTCTCTTGGTCTCTTTCCCTCCCAGGAGCCCTGCTCTGCCTTAGTGGAAAAAATGGGAGTTGGAGAACTTTTCATCAAATGAGAGAGAAATTTCATGGGGCTTTTATGTTTTGCTAGTTTTATCTTTTTAGTGGGTTATCTAAAAACATTCATGCCCCTTGGCCCATCAGTCTCACTACTAGGATTCTATCATTAGGAGACAATCCACGGTAGTGAAAAAGGCTAAATCATGAAGGTGATTTTATAGTATTATTTAGACTAGCACAAAATTGGAAGCAATTTACATGTCTTAATAATTGGAGAACGGGTAAGTGAATGTTGATACACTCGTTTAACTCACTGTTGTGCAGTCATTACAGTGTTTGTTATGAAGTTATGTCACGACATGGAGAGAAAGTACTTATGATGAGGTGAAATGCAGGATCCAAAATTACATGTCATTAATAATTCATTGCTTTGTAAAAACACAAATACACATAGGACAACTAAAGGAAATAATCTATAATGTTAACAATATTTGGGGGATTGTAAGCGATTTTTTTCTTTATTAAAAATTTGTTCATGCTGTGCTTATATTACTTGTAAAATAAAGTATAAATAAACATGAAAATGGGCCGTCTGCCATTAGACGCAGGAGATTGGAAAAGCAGGCATCTTCTAGGTATATTCTTAAACTTTTCTCATTTTCTGCTCGATCTGATTCCATGGGCCCCTTATCCTTTTCCTGAGGCAATATGGAATGGAATGTGATGGCGTGGTCTAGTCCTCTCTTGAAATGGATGTGTGTGCTGGAGGGCAGAGGGAGGTGGTGGCAGGATTCTCCGTGTTACCCAATATTTCATTGCTCATGTCTGCTTTAGGGTTGATCACCTTTGTTGCCTGTGAACATGTTCAAGGCAATTGCCTCAGAGCAAAGCAAAGTCAAACTGGGACCCAAAATGACCAAATATTTGAGTTACCATCTCAGAAACTGATCTCACACACTGATCCTCAGTAAGATTTGGAAATACCAAGGTCTTGCCGTGGTTCTTAAAATAATTTTTTAACCTTATCTAGATAGAAGTATAGATAGGAGCTTAGAGTTGGGGCCAACTCTTTTTTTAAGCCCTTTCTTAAGCTAGTGCTAGAGTTAAGTAAGAGCAAATACCAAGCTGTTGTGATGTCAAAAAGACCTGGAGAAATGGGCCTGGAAAATGTGATCTATGGGGTTCATGTTACTTTCGACCTACCTGACATCTTGACCCAAAGAAGGGAACATTTGTAAGGCTTTTCTGCCATACCTCTAGCTAAACATGCCCCTCTTATCTCTGAATTTTTCCTCCTGCCATTAACATTTTACTTCTAACAGAACTGGAAAATTGGTGGTAGCATTAAGCCAAGTTTACAGTCTCTTAAAATGAGATTCAATTCAATGTAATAAATATTATTAAGCATCTTTTATGTACAAGCTAATAATGCTAGAAAATATGTTGTAGTGGAAGGGCTCTTGCTCTAAGAGTTGTAAAACCTTCATTCTGATCCTGGCTCTGACCCCTTTAAGGCCCTGGCATGCATTTTCATCTGTAGAAAGAGGAGGTTGGATTACTAGGTGGTCTACCAAGAATCTTTCCAGTTCTGGCCCTCAGTGAGCTAAATACCCTCGCACAATAGACTGAATTGCAAATAAAGGTTAAAAAAACTTTCTTCATAAAATCAATGCAGTCTTCCAGATGAAGGCTACTTTGGAATAATCATGATAGAAATAGAAAAATTTTATTGAGGTCTTACTATGTGTTCTGTGCTTAGCACTTTACATAGATTACTTCCTTTCATCTTTATGACACCCCTGTGAGGTATGAGCACCGTTATCCCTATTTTGTAGGTGATGAAATTGAGACTTAGGAGGTCAAGAAACATGTACAAGTTCAGTTAGTAAGCCATAGATTCAGAATTTGAACTTGGGAAGTTTGACTCTAGGCTGCCTATCTGTTGAAGGTTTAGGGATAACCTTCAAAAAAAAACATTGTGATTTTTTTGTAGTTGTTGTTTTACTTCCCAAGGGAAGGAAATTAGTATCCTGGATTTTGAGAGTGTCGGGAAAGGTGTTCTCTAGGACACTGGCCACAGTATAAACCAATCTGAAAGGACATTAGAATTCACTGGGGCCTCTCACTTTCTGTGAGAGGTTGTGTGATATGTGTGTGTATGTGTTTGCACAAATACATGCACATCCTTACAGGGAAAACTTTTAGCTGGCTCCTTTCCATTCATCTGGGAGTCAAATTGGATTAAACAGGTTGACCAAGATTTAGCAGAAAAACAGGTTTCTTAGACTTAGATCCTTCATTCTGGTTGGTGAAATGAGAGTGGGGGTAGAATGAGAGGAGAAGGTAGAAGAAAAGATAGAAAGGGGATCTTATTTTGCAAAATGTATATAAGGGTTAGGAATTTGGTCTGTCCTGGTCACCTTGTAATTTTCATTTTCTGTGACTTGGCTTGGGAAACATCTGAACTCTCACTAATGTGTTTTGGCTCAACTTCCCAGGTGTACTGGGAGGGGACAATGACTGCAAATGGAGTAAGAATTTAGCTTGGCCTTGCTGCCTTGTTACAGAGGAGTCAATTATATAGATTCAAATTGCATTTTTAAAAGACAGAACCATGGGTATCCTTTCGTTTCCTATCAAATATCCTCAAGGACAGTCTGTGTGCCCAGGAGAAACAAGGTTATTTTATTGATTGAAGATGATGTCAGATCCCTAGCAGTGGCATGATTAAAGCTGTGGGCAGATTAAAGGTTATAGAGTTCCTACTATTTTAGTCCTTGTGCATGAGACAAGGAATCTTTTCCTTTCCTCTCTCTAATTAATAAATGGGGCAGTGTTTTCCTCCTTAAGTGATTCTTGACATGTAGACGAACACAAGTTCTTTATGAAAAAATCAGTAACTGGAGAAGACTCTGGAAAGCTTTTTTCTTAGACTGATGGTTTTTTCTCTTTTAAACAAACAAAAAAGATGGGAGGATGGGGAAATGATCTGTGTCCAGTTGACATAAAGTGATTTGGATCTTGAAAAGGATATAGAGGAAATAGGGAAAAATTAAGGAAAGAGAGTAAGACCTTGGACAAGTTTTCTCAGTGAGGATTTGGGTGTCAGGAGAAAGCCAGTCAAGATCAGCATGAAAGATCTAAATTGTACTGTAAAAGAATTGCTTGGTGGTTTCTCTCTAGGGGCTCAAGTTTAAAAGCCTTGGGCTGTTTTCTGATGTTTCAGTTGAAAAAAAAGTCAAATGTTTTGTTCAGAATTGGACAATATAAGTACGTGGCTATTTACCATAGCTCTGTTAACAGTACATCTTTGATTCCAATTAGAAGTTGTTTCTCAGCCGGGCTCGGTGGCTCAGCCTGTAATCCCGCGCCTTTGGGAGGCTGAGGTGAGTGAATTGCCTGAGCCCGAGGGTTCGAGACCCGCCTGGGCAGTGAGACCTCATCTCTACAATAAATCAAAAAAATCAGCTGGGGTGTGGTGGCGCATGCCTG